AATACAGTAGCACCCTACACATTGAGAAGATGTCTCAATAAGCTTAGGCACTTGAGCTGGGGTGAGAGCTGAAGGGGGTGGGGAAGGGAGAAATGACTGAAGACGCAGTCAAAGAGGTACGTCTTGAGACAGACCTTGAATGAAGGTACGGAGGGAGGGAGTTGAAGGGACTCCAGATGGATTTCCAGAGAGTAGGGGCATAATGTCTGAAAGCTTGCCTGCTAATGGTGGGTGGACAGCTGTGGAGTCCTGTAGCTCAGTGGTTAGAGCACTCACTTTGCAAGCGAGAGACCTGAGTTCAATTCCAGGCAGGGCGAAACCTTGGGCAAGTTTCCTTACTCCACACAGAGCCTAATAATAATCCCTCCAAAAACAATAATAAATTGGTCATTTTCAATCCATGACTGTTTGTGGGACATTGCTGTGCGCAATTGGCTGCCGCGTTCGCCCACAAATATACAGTCAATTCACTTTACAGTATATTCTGTGAAGCGCTTTGGGACGTCTAGAAGACGTAAAAGCGCTATATCAAATGCAAGGATTATTATTATTATTATCTGCAAATGTGGTGTTTCCTCTACTCCTAGATGCAGATCATGATTATATGCTAATCACGCTACACCCAGTACAAACATAAAATGGAAATTATACTTATACATTCATTTGGGGTTTTACCTATCTTGCAGCACTCTGTGTTTTCGTAATAAATGTTGAACTACGTAGCTAGATTAGCAACATTGTATCATTATGCTTGTAATATAAACACCATGCATTAGTATTTATTTTTTTGTTGCGCCAGGTAGCTGACACGTGCGGAAACCCATCACAGTGTGCAAGAGTATCCAAATCAGACTGACAGTTCCACAAAGATATATATATAGCACCTAAACATGGAAATTGCCCAGTGACTGGAATGGAATGCATACTCCATCCCTGGAGGGCTAAATTCCTGCTTACCTAATTTTGGAGAGTATTAAGCATAGGTCGGCAAGAGCCAAGACTTGGGACTTAGTGTTAGGGTACTGCAAAAGTTTAACCGGCTAACATCAAGTTGCTTGCCATGGAGATTAATGTCTAGCAAGCTTCCTGCTGCTTCTTCAGTAAGGACCATCCTACTCATCAGGGTTTGGGCTTGTAGAGTCAACAGGAGCTGAGTGGGAAGAATCCCTGCCTCTGGTCTACCCTTCCAAGTCTTACGATGGGCCAGGCTGGCTGGTCTGTGATGGGCCAGGCTGTCTGGTCTGTGATGGGCCAGGCTGGCTGGTCTGTGATGGGCCAGGCTGGCTGGTCTGTGATGGGCCAGGCTGTCTGGTCTGTGATGGGCCAGGCTGGCTGGTCTGTGATGGGCCAGGCTGGCTGGTCTGTGATGGGCCAGGCTGGCTGGTCTGTGATGGGCCAGGCTGGCTGGTCTGTGATGGGCCAGGCTGGCTGGTCTGTGATGGGCCAGGCTGGCTGGTCTGTGATGGGCCAGGCTGGCTGGTCTGTGATGGGCCAGGCTGGCTGGTCTGTGATGGGCCAGGCTGGCTGGTCTGTGATGGGCCAGGCTGGCTGGTCTGTGATGGGCCAGGCTGGCTGGTCTGTGATGGGCCAGGCTGGCTGGTCTGTGATGGGCCAGGCTGGCTGGTCTGTGATGGGCCAGGCTGGCTGGTCTGTGATGGGCCAGGCTGGCTGGTCTGTGATGGGCCAGGCTGGCTGGTCTGTGATGGGCCAGGCTGGCTGGTCTGTGATGGGCCAGGCTGGCTCGTCTGTCAGCAAAAGTGCACTGGAGAACTGCAAACCTGCCTGGGACAGGAACTGGACTATCAGGACCCAACAGAATCAAACTTTGCATGGGGCCCCTTTGGGGCAAATTCTGCGCTTGCTTACCTCGGTATAGCATTCAAGGTGGATACCAAGCACTGGATATATAAATGTACGTTCACAAACCCAAATTCCAGATAACACCTTCCAGAACTGTAGTCCAAAGCCCGAGAATACCTCAGCTGCATTGGTATTGATATCCTCTAGTGTAGTTATGATTGGATCAATTAGTTGTGCTTAAAAGAGAACAAATGCCAAGAAAGAAACCTTATCACAAATCAGATTCTATCGAAAGTATTCTATAACATAAACTGTCGAAGAAAAGACAAAGATGTTGTCTTTAAAAACATTTACACGCAACATAAATGAGTAAGTGGTGTGTGTGTGTGTGGGGTGGGTAAGAGGGGTGAGGATTTGGGGAATGAGATGCACCCACTGCACCCATCCTCTGGAACTCCACCCTGCAGTCCCTCCATCTCGTCCCCTCCCTCACCAAGACCCACCTCAAGACCCTCCTCTTCGACCGTGCTTTCGATCTACCTGCTTCCCGCCCCTGCCCTCCACCCTCCCCCACCCGACCCTCAACTCGGGTCCGTAACTCTGTCTGTCCAGTGCCTTGGGACATCCTCCCGACGCGAAAGGCTCTATACAAATGTAATTTTGTTGTTGTTGAGTACTTAGAAACAACCAAGACAATTATACAGATAACATTAATAATAATCCTTGCATTTGATGTAGCGCCTGATCACGTAGTTGCGACGTCTCAAAGCGCTTCACAGAATATACTGTCTAGTGAATTGACTGTATATTTGTGGGCAAGACGCGGCAGCCAATTGCGCACAGCAGTGTCCCACAAACATAGAATCATAGAATTATACAGCACCAGAAGGAGGCCATTCGGCCCATCATGTCTGTGCCAGCTCCAGTCATGGATTGAGCAACCAAATTACTATTATAATATTATAAGGCAACATCGGGTGCTGTTACGTCGGGATTAATATTTAACACAAAGGAGCGCTCAGCCTCGCGTTACGGGAATCGGCTACTCCGAGCTTCCGGAGCTCCCCAATTTTCTTCAAAATGCCGGGGGTGCATTGTGGCACAGTACCTAACAGAACATAATAACAAAATAATAAAATAACAAGGCCGACGTGGGATTTCGGACAACGCAAATCGAAAAATGCCTTGTACGCATTTTTTAAAATATAGATATATATGTGTCAAACAAAAGTTGGCCTTGGGAGTGAATTCATTTTCTCAGAAATGGTTCTACAAAAGGGTTCCAATAGATTTAGATATTAATATTAATAGGGTGTGAGTGTGTGTGACTGCGTGAGCGTGTGTGTGTGACTGTGTGTGTGTGTGTCTGTGTGAGTGTGTGTGTGACTGTGTGTGTGTGTGACTATGTGTGTGTGTGACTGTGTGAGTGTGTGTGACTATGTGTGTGTGTGTGACTGTGTGTGTGTGAGTGTATGTGTGACTGTGTGAGTGTGTGTGAGTGTGTGACTGTGTGTGTGTGTGACTGTGTGTGTGTGTGTGTGACTGTGTGAGTGTGTGTGTGACTGTGTGAGTGTGTGTGTGTGAGTCTGTGTGTGAGTGCGTGTGACTATGTGAGTGTGTGTGTGTGACTGTGTGTGTGTGTGACTGTATGAGTGTGTGTGTGACTGTGTGTGTGTGACTGTGAGTGTGTGTGTGTGTGTGTGACTGTGTGTGTGACTGTGTGTGTGTGACTGTATGAGTGTGTGTGTGTGTGTGTGACTGTGTGTGTGTGACTGTGTGTGTGTGACTGTGTGAGTGTGAGTGTGACTGTGTGAGTGTGTGTGTGACTGTGTGTGAGTGTGACTGTGTGTGACTGTGAGTGTGTGAGTGTGTGTGTGTGACTGTGAGTGTGTGTGACTGTGTGTGAGTGTGACTGTGTGAGTGTGACTGTATGTGTGTGTGACTGCGTGAGTGTGTGTGTGACTGTGTGTGTGTGTGTGACTGTGTGAGTGTGTGTGACTGTGAGTGTGACTGTGTGTGACAGTGTGTGTGTGTGTGTGTGACTGTGTGTGTGTGTGTGTGTGTGCAATTAGGTGATGATGCACTGTGTGGTAATAACAGCGTTGCCCTCGGAGGGGGTTGGACTGCAGTTACCGCACTGGTTCAACCGAGAGATGCTTCTCACTCGCGCTGTGGCTGTCTCTGCCTGTGGTCTGCCTGTCTGTGTCTGCCTGTCTGTGTCTGCCTGTCTGTGTCTGCCTGTCTGTGTCTGCCTGTCTGTGTCTGCCTGTCTGTGTCTGCCTGTCTGTGTCTGCCTGTCTGTGTCTGCCTGTCTGTGTCTGTCTGTCTGTGTCTGCCTGTCTGTGTCTGCCTGTCTGTGTCTGCCTGTCTGTCGCCGCCCATTGCTCAGTCAGCCTCCGCACTCTCCGCAGACGGGAGCATCTGACGTTGGACCGTGAACCTGGTGGACCAGAAGCCATCAGATAGAGAGACAGGAGGGGAGGAGAGGGGGAGAGAGAGAGGGGAGAGGAGGAGAGAGGGGGAGAGAGAGAGGGAGAGGGGGAGAGAGAGAGGGGGAGAGAGAGGGGGGAGAGAGAGGGGAGAGGGGGAGAGAGAGGGGAGAGGGGGAGAGAGAGGAGAGGGGGAGAGAGAGGAGAGGGGGAAAGAGAGGAGGAAAGAGAGAGATAGAGAAGAGGAGGAAAGAGAGAGGAGAGAGAGGAGAGGAGAGGAGGAAAGAGAGAGATAGAGAGAGAGAGAAGAGGAGGAAAGAGAGAGGAGAGGAGAAAAGAGAGAGATAGAGAGAGGAAAGAGGAGAGGAGGAAAGAGAGAGAGAGGGAGAGGAGAGGAGGAAAGAGAGAGATAGAGAGAGAAGAGGAGGAAAGAGAGGTAGAGAGAGGAGGGAGGGAGGGAGGGAGGGTTCAGCCCCTTGTCACCAGCTTGTGCTGCCAGTCTGAGGAGCCACACTCAACCTCTCCTCCACATCCCTCCCTCCTCCTCCTCCTCCTCCCCCAACCCCTCTCCCCCCCCCCCACCCACACCCCCCCCCCACCCCCCCCACACACCCCCCCCCCATCACCCCGGGAAGCAACAACACAACGAATCCTTCAGACCTTCCCGCAGGATCCACCAGCTAAACACTGGGAGAACAACACAGCTTAAATCACCACCACCACCACCACCACCTTCCCTCCCTCCCTCCCTCCCTCCATCACCATCATCACCATCATCACCTCACTCCCCCCCTCCACCCTCCTCCACTTTGCAGTCATAAAGAATATGAGGCCATGAAGTCTCTCCCGCATCGGATTGCTTTGCTGGGAGCTGTGTGTGGACTGGTGAGACTGGTGTGTGCCCACAGGAACACTGGTAAGACACACTTATTTATCCTTACCATATTTTTACACCTTTACAATTCCATCCCCTCCCTTCCCTCCCTTCCCTCCTTCCCTTCCTTCCTTCCTTCCTCCCTCTCCATCCTCTCCTCACTCACTCACTCACTCACTCACTCTACCTACAGTATGACCTGACTTCTCTCTCGTCCCCCAATTGCACCGTTGGTGGGGTTTCAATGCTGCGATTTCTGTTGGGGGTTTTTTTTTTGTTGTTGTGTGTTGTGTGTGTGTGTGTGTGTGTGTGTGTGTTTTAAAAAAAAAATTTCTAATAATAATAAATTGCATTATGTGTCTTGAAATTGGATTATGTATGTGTGTGTAGCGCCTTTCACGTCGGGAGGATGTCCCAGATGCTGATGTGTTGGTTGTTGTTTTAATATATATATATATATATGTGTGTGTGTACATATATATATATATATAGATGTTAAGACAAAACTTTCAAAACCTTCATTTAGATGCTGTGGGTTTATTTGTTTGTTTGTTTGTTTATGGGGGGTCTCTGAGGCTGGGTATTTGTGTTTAAGACAAAATAAGGGGGAAATGAATCAAAAACCTGCATTTTCAAAAGGGAAAAAAGATTTCGAAAGATGGGAAATGATTGTAAAACATGTATCTGACTGGGATGGGAATGTGTCTCTTTCCCCCTCTCCCCCTCTCCTCTCTCTCTCCCCTCCTCTCCTCTCCTCTCTCCTCTCCCCCCTCCCCTCTCACTCCCCTCATCTCCTCTCCCCTCTCCCTCCTCCCCTCTCCCTCCCCTCCTCTCCTCTCCTCTCCCCCCTCCTCTCCTCTCCCCTCTCCCTCCTCTCCTCTCTCCCCCCTCCTCTCCTCTCTCCCTCCCCTCATCTCCTCTCCCCCCCCTCCTCTCCTCTCCCCCCCCTCCTCTCCTCTCTCCCCCCTCCTCTCCTCTCTCCCCTCCTCTCCTCTCTCCCCCCTCCTCTCCTCTCCCCCTCCTCTCCTCTCTCCCCCTCCTCTCCTCTCTCCCCCCTCCTCTCCTCTCTCCCCCTTCCTCTCCTCTCTCCCCCCTCCTCTCCTCTCTCCCCCTCCTCTCCTCTCTCCCCCCTCCTCTCCTCTCCCCCCCTCCTCTCCTCTCTCCCCCCTCCTCTCCTCTCTCCCCCCTCCTCTCCTCTCTCCCCCCTCCTCTCCTCTCTCCCCCTCTCCCCTGCTCTCCCCGCGGGGGGAAACCGTGCGCATCTGCAGGACTGCGGGGAGCTGAGGCGGCCTGGAGCAGAGAGGAGGCGGGAGCTGAGGCTGGAGCTGGGGCTGACCGGCGTCAGGGCACGAGCCCCGTACAGCTCAGCCTCCGCAGCCACCAGCAGCCCGGGAGCGGCAGAAGACACAGCCTGGACACCCGAGTCAGCAATGGACAGCCGGCAGCCTCGCACCCTGTAAGTCTGGCGCTCTTCTCGGTGCAAACCGTAGCTGCCGAATGCAACGAGTGAGAGGGAGCAAGTCTCTACTTCCCTGCGTCGCCGAGGCGTTTGCTTCCCTGCAAGGGTGTGTGTGTGTATGATGTGTGTGTGTGTGTGCGTGTGTGTTGGGGGCGGTGGCGGGGAGGGGGGTGTATGAGGGATGAACCCTATCAAAAGCTGCTACTGCTGAACTGCACAATGCAGTAAAAATTATACACGAAAAGCATCTCCCTCATTGCCCTACACCGATGGCAGTTTATGTATTTCCAGTTCGGTTGCCATCATTCCTTTCCTTGGAATTGTCAGCCTGGTTTGCATTAGTCTGAAGGCTGGTGATGTGTCTGTCAAGACACTCCCAGGGCAGGTACCGACAGGTCGGGAGCTTTCTTTTTGATCACCATACAGTTTCCCTGGATGTCACTGTGCCCTGTTTTTTTTTCAGTGCTTTCCAATTGATGCATTTACCATATGGTCAGCACAATGTGACACAAGGATGACTGTTGCTATTTTTAATTTTTTTTCTTTGCAGTCCATACACGTTGCACAAACTAGCTTCCTGGTGGAAGCATTCGGATCATCCTTCATTCTGGACGTTGAACTAAACCAGTGAGTATGATCAAATATCCACCTTTGGGGGATATTTGATTCAGAATTTGATCCATAGTTGCTATTATGGTTTGGGTTGGATTTACTTTTATATCTTTTCTGCCATTTGAAAAAAACCTGGATATAATTTGCTCAGGATTTTGAAGTGTATGGATGAACTGGACCAAACTAGTCTGTTTGACAAAACCAGTTAACTCTACAACAAGCTCAACTGAGGGAAGATGGACAAATTGGATTAGTTGTTTTACAACAAGAGGGCAAATATATGACAGATGCCTAGGGAGACAATTTGGAAATAATCTTTTGAGTTTAAAGAAATGATTGAGGGGAATAAGAGATAAGATTATTATTTGTTTTTTTTAACCTTTGGGAATAGCTAGATAAGCCTAAAAGGTTTCTTTTGGTACTGTACTTACTGTACTGTAAGTTTCTTTTGGCACTGTACTTACTGTACTGTAAGTTTCCTTTGCTTTTTATCATTATTATGTTGGTAGAATTGGTGATCTGGTGATTTCTTCCTCTCCCATCCAGAAAAAGAAAACAATATATGATCTGCCAAATGGCTTCTGAGCTATAAATTTCTAAAAATGAATTCTAATTGTGACTGGTTTCCAGGACAACTCATGCATTCAATCCAATTATGAATTAAATAAATAATGGGTATATATATATATCTATGTATATCATGTACTGTATTCCCATTTTAGTTTAAAATTCTAGCTACAATTTATTGCTTAGAAAAGATTACAAAGCACATTTTTTTGAGTGGGTGGAATTATTATACTGCTGATAATCTGTTTTGTGGTGGAAAACAGATGGAAATCATGTTTAAAGCAATACATTGAAGTGGAAAAATATCCTGTGTGTATTCCAGTGTTTCAGGACCAAATCAAACGGGAGCCCAGCACAGTTGTGTTGCCCGACCCAGTTGTGTTTTATGACCCAGTTTTGTTTTGTTTTATAGGTTTTGAAAATAACACAAATGTGGCAAAATAAAAACAGAAGTCGTTGGGAATACGCAGTAGGTCAGGCAGCATCTATGGAGAGAGGAAGACGAGTTAACGTTTCAAAAAGTCATCGACCTGAAACGTTAACTCATGTTTCTCTCTCCATAGATGCTGCCTGACCTGCTGCGTGTTCCCAGCAACTTTGTTTTTATTTCAGATTTCCAGCATCTGCAATATTTTGCTTTTTTTGTACACATGTGATAAAAGCTGGTATGAAACACAAATTTAAATTTAGAACTGCTTTAAAAAAGTTGCTGTTGAATTTCAGTAGTTATACCTAATTACTTTCTCATGTCAAAATTGTTTCAATTTTATTACGGTTCTTTGTTACCCTAATAATGTTTGGAAAGCTCATGGGAAAGGTAACCAGCCATATATTGAAATATATTTCAGTCCCCATGGTAAAGAAGCATCTTTGGTCTATCCATTATGTTGAACACAATTATTCTTGTCATTATCAATCGAATGAAACACCTAAAAAGATGGATTGTATCAAAATGTATGTAGAGACTTCTGTGAAAGATTTAAGGAAAGATTTAAGTAATGATTTAAGATATCAATGCGAAATTCATTCATGAAAGGTGTGAAAGATATCTGAGAACAGACCAGAGGGTAAAATTAAATCACTGGATTTAACCTTAGTTATATGATAGTAACATTCGAGATAATCCATGCAGACTGATGATGGACAGTACTGGCCTTCACTCTTTTAAGTATAGATAGAAAAACAACTGCACTTCACACCCAGCAAGAGGCCTCTTAACTCAATCATTTTCATATAAAAACAAGTTGATCAGGTGGATTGCTGCCTGTATTAAAAATAACCATTAAAATTACAAAAATGTTATTTTTCTGAAAAGTAGTTTTTCTAAATTGAAAAAGGTAATATCTTTATTAGCTTGCTTTTATTTTGAATAAATGCTGTGTTTTTCAACAATCTTAATTTTTAGACATTAGGGTTTAAGTGATGATGGAAACAATTACACATGAGGTATGTTTTTTATGATACCTGCTAAATGACAGTTAATGTGAGGTGACCGTGTCAAGGTGTCACTCCGATGTAGACATTATGTTCTTCAGGGAACAATCAAGACAAATCCTATTACAGGCTGCTACTCTACTACATTTCAGTGAAGATATTATTTATTTTTCTGTTGGAGGCACACTTCAATCAGGCTGATGTGAAATAATAATGTAGTCCATATGCAGATGAATAATGTGTATATGTATGTATGGGAAGGGGGTAATAATAATGGCTTTGAACTAACATTAAAATCATCAGTTTTGAAAATAAACAAATGGGGTTCTAATGAAATTAATGTTTTAAAATGACCAGCGGCATGATGTAAATGTTGGGGAGGGGAAATGATTTTCAATAGCATGAACAACAAATTGTATATTTAAATGTTCATTGGTGGTGCTTTGTGAATGAACAAAAATTACTTACAATGCCTCCTGCAATTGCTTTGAAAGAAATGATCACTGAGGTAATATTGAGAGTAATGTTTATATCTTTACATACACTTGCTATTTTAGCCATTGGCTAGTCCATTTGGTAACTCAGCAGAATAGATAATTGTATAGCTGACCATATTTATTTATAGTGAGTCTATTAATGATAATAGCACTTAAATGTAACCAGGCTTTCTTACATCATCTAGTAAAATCTAGATAGAATTAAGATCATCCCCATGAAGGGGTAAGTGCCCTATAACTACATGTCAGATAACCACATGTTCATTTATGTACAATGTGGGTGAAATCATGAAATTGTTGCAATAAGTTGGTGCTGAAATGTTGTGCTAATAAACTTTAATTGTGCAAACACAACCACATACAATATTCGTTTTGCCCACAATTGACTGCCGTGTGTCGCCCATAAAAACAGTCACTTCACTTTACAGTATATTCTGTGAAGCGTTTTGAGACACCTCAACGATGTGATAAGACCATATATCAAATGCAAGGATTATTATTATTAATGCATTTATAGTCTATCCAGCGGCAGAATTTATTTCTCCCGAATGCACGTATTAATGAAAGGGGGAATTTTTGAGTTTGTTTACTCAGAGATTTGAACAAACATGACATTGCAGAATTCGAGATCAATAGAGAGGCAAGAGCAATGGCATATGTGGTGGGGGAGGGGACAAGAGAAAGATAAAAGGATACAATATTAGGATAAGACGTTAAAGACCCCATGATATCATTCAAAAAGTGAAGGGAGTTTCTCTCAATGTCATGGCCAACAATCCTTCAAGTAAAATCGGTTACTAAAATTATGTTTTTTGTGGGACATTGCTGTGTGCAAATTGTCTGTAACGTTTGCCTACACAATATACAGTCACTACACTTCACAGTATATTCTGTGACACACTTTGAGATGTTCTCCTGATGTGAGTGGCATTGTATCAAATGCAATAATTTATTATTTGTTATAAGGACTGGTACTTGGGGGAGGGAGGAGAGAAGAGTTGACACTGTGTATTTATGGGAGAGGGAAATAGAAGGATTGTCACTGTAATAATGTAAGTAATTGTTCTGGGTAGGGTGACTCTATCTGGATGAGCAGTGCTCTCAATCCAAGCGATGTACTTTTCGTTGGTTTGAACTGCAGCAGTACCTCAACACACACTCTAGGGTCCCTAATCCTTGGCTCTTGTCAACCTGCTTCTAATGCTTTCCGAAATTAGGTAAAAATGTGGAAGTCTAGTTTGGATACTTTTAAGCGTAGCAGTGGGTTTCCCCATGTGTCAGAGACATGAGACTGAAACAAGTTTGTAAACTCTTGCATGTGTCGATGTGCACACTGCTCTGGGTCGCATGTGCCATTGCAACAAGTTGCCTACTGTCTGAGCACTGCAGAGATCAGTGGTAAGGTCATGTGCATCTGGCTGCTTGGCCTCGATAAGACGAATTTCTGGAAATGGTGAAACAAATTGTTACTTTACCATTAAAGGAAGGTGCTTTGCATTGCGCTGCATCCAAATCAGAGTAGATAGTGAGCCTGTGGAACAGGCTCCCTTGGGCAATGGTTGAAGCAGGAAGTGTTGATTCTTTCATACACAGATTACATAGTTTTCTTTTAGGAAATAACATTATGGGATATAGTACATAGGTAGTTTGGGACATATGTGCATGTGACCGCCAGAAGGGTGGAAGGCGAACTAGATGGACCTTGGTCTTTTTTCGTCTAGCGTTTCTTATGTTATTATGTTCTTATATTCTTATGTTCTTATGTTCAAACCAATACATCTGACATTGTGCAGTCCGACTGCCCTGTCATCTCCCGCTGCTCAGCTACAACTGGCTTGTTTCAGGCCCTCTGCTTGATCTGCCCTACCATCGGTAGATGAGCTTTCAACCATTCTGCTGCCATTCTCTGGAACTTCATCCAGAGTCCTTCTATTTCACCCCTTCCCTCCCTTCCTTTAAAGCCTGCATTAAGACAGTCTTTTCAACTGCACTTTCACTACCTTCACCCACCCCCTCTCTCCACTCCCCTGCACCAGCCTGTGTGCGCAGTCAGCTGTGTAAAGTACCTTGAATTGGAGTCCTGTAGTATAGTGATTAGAGCACTCGCCTCGCAAGCTAGAGGACCTGGATTTGATTCCCGCAGGGCGAAACGTTGGGCAAGTTTCCTTACTCCACATGCCTCTGTTTATCTAGCAGTAAGTAGGAACCTGGTTGTCAGTTGATTGGCGGATTGTTTTTCCGGGGATAATAATTGCTGTGCACAATTGGCTGCCACGTTTCGCCAACAAAATATCCAGTCAATTCACTTTACAGTATAGTCTGTGAAGTGCTTTGAGACGTCTCAAAGACAATGATAATAATAATAATCCTTGCATTTGACATAGCGCCTTATCACGTCTTCAAGACGTTTCAAAGCGCTTCACAGAGTATACTTAAAGTGAATTAACTGTATATTTTGTGGGCGAAACGCGAAGCCAATTGCGCACAGCAGTGTCCCACAAACAGTCGTGGATTGAA